CCAGGCCTTCCCAGTGTCCTGCCCTGAACCCTGTGGTGTGTGTCCCCCCCCCTCAGCCCCCGTTTCTGGGCGCTTCCTCAAGCCTCTCCCCGAGCCTGCTGCTCCCTCCGTGGCCCCCCATGACCTGCCCTGTGCTCCTTGCTCCCCCCTCTCTAGGCGTTTCCCCCGACCTGCACCGAGCCTGCTGGGCATCCATCTCTACCCCTCTATATCAAGCTGATACCCCCTTAGCCCCTGCCTGACAAAGGAGAGATTTAGATGAGGTATTAGGAAGAAATTCTTTACTCTGAGGGTGCTGAGCCCCTGGCGCAGGTTGCCCAGAGAAGCTGTGGCTGCCCCATCCCTGGAGGTGTTCAAGGCCAGGTTGGACGGGGCTTGGAGCAACCTGGGCTGGTGGGAGGTGGCCCTGCCCTTGGCAGAGGTGTTGGAACTCGATGATCTTCAAGGTCCCTTCCAACCTAAACCGTTCTATGATCTCTGGCCCTTGGTACTATGTAGAGTGGGGGTATGCTGCTTGGAGCTTGAGGGATTTGCTTTCCTCAGACCTTATGGTATTCCTAGAATGATTTTTATCACACTGTTAATTCCCATGCTCCTGCTCACCTCCGTGCAGTGATTTCTTTTAGCAGCACAGTGCTCGGAGACGATGGGTCAATTCCACCATCTCCTCGCATGTCTCCAGGCGGGCAGTCAGGTTGCACCAGGTTATACTTTCAACTGCTATTTTGCTGGCTATGGGACTGAGATTGATGAGGGAGGTGGAGAATTACCTCAGTCCTCACTGAGTGTCCAGGAGAATGGCTAACCAGAGGGCCTGGGAGCTCTTCTGAGGGCTGATAACCTCCAGGCGTTTGTTTGGTTTTTTTTTTTTGTGAGAAAAATCAGCCTTGTGGCAGTTTAAGAAGCATTTATCTTTTGAGCAAAATCATAGTTACTGTAACAGTCATTTTTAGGTCTCTTGCCTTCTCTTTTAATGAGATTGAAATTTACTACAGATACTGTTGCTTTTTTCCAGGCAGCTTCCCAGGAAGCAGCAAGAGTCAGTCCATATGTCTGCCATACCCAAGATAGCACTTGTTTTAACTCCATTTGGTTATTTACGCCTGGTTTTGAAGGCCCCAAGTTCCTTCTCTTCTACACCAGGATAGACATGAAAGCTATTAATTAATCCTGTAGGCGCACTCTCGCTCTGCTCAAGCATGTCCTTGTAGTGGTTTAAAACAAATTCATTGCTGCTTCTGCCTTTCTAATGTGCTGGTGTGCTCAGTTCACAGGTTGATTACCTACATCTTTGTCTACGAAGACATGATATCCTTGACCTGTGGTGCTGTTATCATCTGGTATTTTGCTGGCAGCTTTGAGAAGAACGTTGGCACTGCAAAGCACTGCTTCCTCACCATCGCATTCGCCGTCCTCTCTGCCCTTCTGTACCTCTTACTCGAGACCATTGTCTCGAGGGTATCAGAGGTGGAAGATGCCAAAGGATTCATGCCAGTAGCTTTTGCTACGTTGGGTGTCTCCACCACCCGCTCACGGATGAAGAGTACTATGTTTTTTGGGGTTAGAATTCCAGTGGTGCTGGTGCCATGGTTTATACTCTGCATAGCGTGGTTTATCCCCCGCTCTTCTCTCTTGAGTAACCTGTGTGGGCTTCTAGCTGGGGAAGCATGTATCCTTTCCAAGTGCACTGGTTCACAGCGGGGAGGATGTACTGCGGTTCTCGTTGCCGAAATGCACTGACTCTACAGTGTTTCCTGGGCTCTTCCTCTGCGTTAAACTCTCACTGGCTTTGCTGGTCCTCACCACACCCAGTTCAGCATTTGTTTTTCACCTCATGTTTCCACTTCCCCTGTGGCTTCAGTGCACGCAGAGAAGATGGAGCTGAGAAGGGTGATGGTCTGTAAAGGTGGCGCTGGGTAGAACTGGGAGAATTCTCCAGGGAAAGTGGTTTGTGGCCAGAGCGGGATTGTGTGTGGCTGTGTTAGAAATTAATGTGTTTTGTCTGCAGTTCTCCTTAACGTGCTGCTGCCTTCAGATGGTTTTGGTTACTGTTTCTGCTTGGATTTTCCGGAGTCAGTGAGCTCTAAGCTGGACCGAGTGTTCCCTTTCAGGCTGCTAAAGAGGATACCAGGGCTCAAATATATCCCAGGGTCCTTAGCTGAGAGAAGAGCCTTTGAAAGCAGCAAGTAAGTACAGGAGTTACTGTATCTTATGATGTAGGGACATCTGAAGGTAATAAGTGGAGGCATTAAATCACCTTTAAAAGCTGTATTGTGCTTGTTGTGTTCATATCACGGGTGTTAAGGGGAACATCCTGACCCGTTGATGCTACATGGGTGACATTACTGAGACTAATACAACTAATACGTTGTCACACATTAACTCAACCAGGTCTTTTAGTGAAAGCTAAATTGAGGTGAAAGGCCTCTCATTTGCTGCAAGGGCAGTGTGTACACATGTAAAGGTATTGCAGCTTGGCTGACGTGAAAGCTAAATCGTGCAGTTCTGCCCTAAATTAGGACTTCTGGTGTTTGTTCCTGGCTGTATTGCTCCTTGGGGCGTGATCTTTATCTTTCTTTGCCCCACCTTGTCTCCCAGGAATGCTGTGAATCGAGTGGTGTCCAAATCTATGTAGAAGCGGAGCATTATAAATTGAACGTGTCATGAAGTTCAATGTAGACCTTTGAATGCATATTTTCAGTGTCAAGACAAGGTTGCTTTACTGAAAAGAAACCTTGGGGGCTGTGGCTGGTGTTCAGGAATGGTTTTAATTTTGTGTATATTATAAGCCATGAGAACTCACTTGTATTCTAAAAAGCTTGGAAATGTAGGTCAATTTTTTCCCTGTTCTAAGATGTCATTTCAATTTCACAGAGGAAGAATGGTTTTCTATTAGGGGTTAAATTCTATGTATTGTATAAGCCGTCAGCTCACTGTAAACGGTTCTTTGAAGTGGAAGAATTCCCAAGTGTTTGCATCTGCCCTCAGCCTTGGGGAGACCCTAAAAGAAACACTTGCCTGCAGCAGGAGTGTACCCCAGATCCATTAGGGCACTCAAACGTGTGTGTGCTTGCCAGGGAGGTCAGGCAGATCGAGCAGCATTTGTGTTTTCACACTCTTCCTTCTGTGCAAGGGCTGCTTTTGGGAGGAGGGACTGTCTTGCTACATGCTGAGCCTGTGTCTGCATCAGTCTAATGCTTCTGCTAATAGCTGTTGTGCACAGCATCTCAGCTCTGTGTCTAAACCTGCTTTCTTTAGGTGAGATGACAGAAAGAGACTGTTCTGGCTCAAAGGTATTTACATAAACATTTGACTATCAAGCAGGGCGTGGGAAGGTGTTTCTAGGATGTTTCCATTTCTGCCGCTAAATTTGCATGCCTCTGTGTCTTAGGCACAAGTTCTATATGTGCTTCTGGGGCTTAATTTTTATTATTTTGAGTCTTATTGCCAAGTAAGAGCTCCTGATGGCTTAGCTTTTGGGGTTTTTTTTCCCAATTTTCATAAGACTTCAGGCATCAACTTGTCACCAGATGGGAGACATTTCTAGGAGGTCCAGGCTTTGACATCGTGTTTGTGTCTACAATGAAACAAAACAAAAACCAAAACCAAACCCACACCCCACATAAAAACAAAACAAACCAAAACAAAAACAAGCCCCAAAACCCCAGCATGAGCCAGTCTCTTATTCTTGCTGGGAATCTGGCGGTCATGGTCTTCATGAATATTGTCTTGATTCTCAGCACTCATCTTAGTGTTGTGCGTGGGCTGAGCAGTACTCCTGAAGTCCCAGAGGCTTTGGCTTCTAGGCAGATTGCCTCTCTCTCGATACGTTTCAGTAGGATGAGTCATGCCTTCTGTTGGCAAAGGCAGTTTCTAGACCTTGCTTCTGAATGATTAATTTTATTCATAACTCTCTCCTCCTTCCCTTTTTGCTCTGTACCCTGGGCTCTTACTCACACCAAAGGCCTTTATGGCTTTTTGATAAATAACACTTGGCAGCTGTGACTTCTCCTGATTAATAACTTAGCAGATGTGTCATTCAGTGGAAGGCAGGGAGGATGCGTATGGAAATCTTAAAGCACATTGCAGTTTGGCTTGCGTATTCCTTGCACAGAGACTCGGGGCCGAGAACCACGCTCATTCAATGGGCGTGGAACTGGTGTGGGTTGGGAGTGGGAAAATCTGTCCTGGGAGGCCAGTAAACCTATTTTACTCAAGTGCTGCTTATAATAAGAGCTTCTCTTGTTGTGAATCTCTCTGATGGATTGCGGTGACCTTTCTGAGCGCTGGTCTGGAGCAAATCACCCCCAGGGCACTTCCAGTGCTAATTAGGCAATGCCAGTTCTGAACACAGTGTAACCTTCTATTTTCTTCCTGCCTAGGATTAACCCCGCACTGGGTGCCTACCCCACCCAAAGCTACTACTGCTCTTCGCCTCCAGCTGTTCCTGCTTTCCAGATGCAACACCCCAATGCTCAGAGCCAGGGGTTTCAACACAGCTGTATTCCGGGATGTGGCCATGCTCTGGGACACGAGGGATCTCAGCCCAGCCATGCTGCAGAACACGGCGTCCCTTCTTCTCCCTACCAAGCCAGAGGTGCCTTCGGAGAGTGTTATGTGCAGACCCACCCTGGAGCCTCACCTGGACAGTGCTGCCAGCTGGGCAAGTTCTCTCCCCCGCAGCGCGTGTGCCCGACTGATCCACAGGCACCTGCAGGCGTGGGCCCCCTGGCTGGAGTTCAGCAAGCATCAGGGTATCCAGCAGCCACAGTGGCTCCTGTTTCAGCTGAATTTTCCAGAGTCCAGGTGTACTGATCCTCCAGAAAGCAGCAGAACTCTCATACTGTGGCAGGACCATTGTGTGACATTCACGCAGCAGCGCATTGCTGTTGTCTTTGCTGTCTCTGGGGTGACTAGTGGAATGGGTTGGTAGCTCCAGTGTAGGCCATTCCCCTGCTCCCTGGCACAGGCTACTTTTAATTATATTTCCTTTTATTATTTTTTTTTTTTTTACTTTTTTATATTGCTGGGGGCTGTATCACCTCTGTGTGCTTCTCATCCTTTTGGAGTCTTTTTTCATTGCTGCATTTAGCAGCTGCTTTTTCACACTGCCACTAGAGTTACAGCGCGTCAGCTCCCTGACTAAAGCTAGGAACCTAATTGTCAAAACACTGGACTAATCTGGAGTTTAACTAGGCTGCAGCATGAAGGGCATGTCCCATTTATGCTAAGGCTCTTAGCCTCCTATCTTGTTTACAGGTGTGCTGTAGCTAGGATCCAAAAGAGGTTGAAATCATAGAAGCCTTAGTTTATAATTTAATGTTTGAGTGGAGAAGGACAGATGTATGTTCTACTAGTGACTTGTCCACTAAGAGTGTGCCTTGAAGGGGGCTTGTTAAACCAGGACTGAGGCAAGAGGACACAGAAGGATACAGAACACCCTTTTCTGCCCCCTAAAACACAGCTCTAAAATGCTGAAGGTCCTTCTTAGCTGCAGTCTGTGCATGCCTCAACATGTTGCCTTCATTTTCTGATAGCGCTGCACTAGCTCAGCCTGTGTTGCCAGTGCTTGTCGATAAGGCAACCTCAGATGCATGCAAAGGAGTGGAAGACTCTTCAATAAGGGATTTTGGCCATTGGTGGATATAAATCCAAGGAGCTGGGAGGGACCTTAACAGTGGGTTTGAAGAATTAACTAGAATGCAGCAATTCCATTGAGGGTGTTCACACTGCTCAGCTTTAGATATCTCACCCACCACTACTAGCACAATCTCTTTCTGTTTTCTTCAGGGCTGGTGGAAAGGTGTGTGGGAGAGGGGAGTTCTCAGCAAGGCATTCAGAGCAGGAGGCAGTGTTTGGTGTTGTGGCGGTAACAGAGGAGTTTGAGTTGGTGGGACTCAAGCTTTATTTCCAGCTGTGTAGCTGCTTTACTGTTCCACGCCCAGGAGGAAACTGCTGTCTCTGTGTCTGTAAATCAGCCAGGATCTCAACTATTGCCCTTGACTCTCTGCTTAGAGTTTTGTTGTGCTCCAAAAAAGAATAAAAATGCTACATGAAGCACAAAGTGCCATTACAGCTCCTGGAGATGTTCTTGCAGTGCCTAACCTGTCCCCCAGAAACCATGATAGCTTTGGGTCTCTTCCATGCTATCGTTGAGCCGGGGTCATATGCGACATTGGCAGCTGCACGCTCCAAAGCATGTACGTGCTTCTTTCTTTTTTCCCCTCTCTGGTGTGTGAAGAAGCCCCGTGTCGCTGTACAGCCACGTACTTCTCCAGCAGCCCCTTCTGGGATGACTGCCACAGTTACGGGTGGCCTCGCAGGGGCTTGCTTTGGGGGAAGACCAAAGCGAATGCTGAGGACTTAGACCTCAGGTGCACGTTAGTAAGAAGCTCTGCTTGCAAAGGTGGGCACCCCCGGGCAGGGGCTTTCTGCAGGAGGATGCAGCAATTTGGGAACCAGCCTGGAGCTGGTCGCCGGCTCTGTTTCGTCCCTCATCGTTTCACTCCTCCATGGCGTCGCAAATGGGCTTGATTTCGTGGTCCT